AGTTTTGTTGTTTTCTGGATAAGTTTGTTTTTTTTCTATGTTCTTGTTTTTAGCATCTTTGTTTTTTTGCCATTGTTTTTTCATCGTTTAAAAATTTTTTCTGGATGTTTTTATCTTTTTGCCGAATTTGTGTTGTTAATGTTTTGTTGTTTTAATGTTGTTGTTGTGTTGTTAATGTTGTTGTTGTTGCTATTATTGTTATTATTATTTTGTTTACAAAATTTTTTTTCCATCGGCTTGATCCAAATAAATCAAGGATGGCCAATGCCATTGTATTCAATTAATTAACGCCGACAACCTTGCGTGGATGTGTTCTAACGATTATGATGATGATGTTGTTGTTGTTGATGTTATTGATGATGATGATGTTGTTGTTGTTGTTGTTATTGATGATGATGATGATGTTGTTGTTGATGGTATTGATGATTTTGTTGTTTTCGTTGTTGTTGTTGTTGATAATGATAACTTTGTTGTCGTTGTGGTTGTTGTTGATGATGATGTTGTTGATGATGTTGTTGTTGATGATTATGGTGATGTTGTTGTTGTCGTTATTGATGATTAATTATAACGACAAAAGCAAATATACGCAGATACCAATACATATACAAACACACAAACAAACAAACACACAAACATGCAAACATACAAACAAACAAACAAACATACCTACAAACCTACAAAATTCAGGGCGCCGACTCAGATTATTGATTGCTTTGAAACAAAATCTAATTTTTCAAACATTGCAAAAACACATGCCCACACACAAACACACATACACTCACAAACTAACACACACACACACAAACAAACATACGCAAACACAAACCAAAAAATACCAAACAATACATTTATTCACGCTAGTACATCAAACAATTATACAACGAGTGTTTGTGTGTCTGTGTGTGTGTGTGTCTCTGTGTGTGTGTGTATGTGTGTGTGAGGATTTAATAAAATTAATACACATATTATTTTTTTAATTAATTATACCAAAAATATGAGACATGGAAATTTTTTTTTACATTTCCACATTATTCATAACACAAAAATACATGCGTATAATATAAAAAACATAAAAAGACAAGATACAAGCACGGAAACATACGTACAAACACACTAACATACATATAAACAAACAAAACATACAAACATACAAACAAAACATACGAACAGGTTGTCCAAGAGTACGAACGTGCTGTTATCTTCCGTCTCGGTAGATTACTGTCCGGAGGAACCAAGGGACCAGGTTTGTTTGTATGTTTGTTTGTATGTATGTTTGTTTGAATGTTTGTTTGTTTGTTTGTTTGTATGTTTGTATGTTTGTATGTATTATGTATGTATGTATGTTTGTTTGTTTGTATGTATGTTTGTTTGTTTGTATGTGTGTATGGATATATGTGCTTCGGACTAAAAACCCTTAAAAATGTAAAATTTACAATGGCCATTTAACAAAAATTTCGCAATCATTCCTTTTATCACTGTCTTTCTCTCTCTCTCTCATTCTTTTTTTTCTTTCTTTCTTACTTTTTCTCTCTTTTTTTCTCTCGCTCTTTCTCCCTCTCTCACTCTCTCTCTCCTCTCTCAGTTAGCCTGTCAATTAGTGAAAAAAAATAAAAAATTTAGGCAAAGAAGTAAACTAAAGTACTATAAATTCTTTATTTCTATCACTCTATCCCTTACTTTGTTTTTTTCTCTCTCTTTCCCTCTCTCTCTTTTTTTAAATTGTTGGTTAAAATATATAACCAAAGAAACATAAATTTTGAAAGAAAGAAAAAAAAACGAAATTAAATTTGGAAATTGGATTAAAAATAATTGTCGGTGGGAAGAATTTTCGAGATTTATTGGAAAGGATGGTATGGTGGTGGTGATGGTTGTGATGGTGATGGTGATGATGATGATGGTGGTGACAATAATGATAATGATTGTGACAGTAATGATGATGATGATGGTGGTGATGATAAACATAATGCATTTGAAAAAACAACGCGTTGAGCTAGTTTTTAGTAGTCAGCCCGACGGAGAGGTTTTTTACTCATTCATCAATTCATTTGATACATCCATCTCTCATTCATTCATCCGTTCATTCATTTCTTTATTTATTCGTTTATTTGCTTGTTTGCTTGTTCGTTTATTCATTCAATTTTTTTTCATTCATTCATTTTTTTGTTTTTTCATTGATACATTCGTATGTTCGTCATTTGTTTGGTCATCCGTTCGTTCACTCATTCATTCATTCATTCATTTACTCATTCATTCAATCCCTCTCTTTTTTCAGTCATTCATTCATTCATCGCTTATTTCATCAAACCATCCATCATTTGTGTTTACTATTTTCGTAATTTTTGCGGTCTGACATTTTCGACAATCATCGCTAACAATATCCGTTCTATATATAGACTCCATCTCTCTCTCTCTCTCTCTCTCTCTAGCTCTCTCTTTCTTCTCTTTCTTTACTTTTTTTTGTTTTTACTCGGTTTTGTCGTTCTTTCTTTGTTATTTTCAC